AAGAACTGTGCAGTAGGGGCTTAAGTCATTCTGATAGATCTATTCTGGTCACGCCAAACATGGTTTCCAGTTTTGCACAGGCTGTTGACTCAGCCTCCATACCCATTACCACGTCGACGCAACCTCTCCCAGAATTGTGGGACGATGCTGCATCCTCAGCTGCACACCCTTCACCTCCTTGCATGGCTTCTATCTGGTTTAGGGAACTAGAGACCCAATGCTTTCAACAGGTGAAGAATGTTCTCCACAGTAGGAGACCTTCCACTCAAAAAACTTAAAAAATGGACTCGTTTCTCTCACTAGTGTCAAAGAGTGATGAGGGACCTTGTGCGTCCCCACTGAAGATCATCCTTGATTACATGTTAGAACTTAAGATATTGGGATTTCACTTTCTTCCCTCTGGGTACGTCTACACTTGCTCCCTAGTTCGAACTAGGGATACAAATGTAGCTGACCAAAATTGCTAATGAAGCGGGGATTTAAATATCCCACGCTTCATTAACATAATCTGGCCCGCGTGCTATTCCGCTCGCCAGCTGATTCAAACCAGGAAGTGCGCTCCAGGACGTGTTAGTTTTAATCAAACCCCTTGGTTCAAACTAAGATTACTCCTCAAAAAAATCCCTTCTTCATTAGCAATTTTGGTCGGCTACATTTGCATCCCTAGTTCGAACTAGGGAGCAAGTGTAGACGTACCCTAAGAGTACACCTGTTGGCTATAACAGCTTTCCACAATAAGGATGTTAAAGACTCATTGAGGAGGAGTAACGGTAGTTTGAATTAGGAGCTTTAATTCGAACTACCTAGCCTGTGCAGCGTGTAACCGCGGGCAGGTAGTTCGAAATACGGGGCATTAAAAATGGCGGCGCCCGGAAACATGCAAATAAAGCCTGGGATATTTAAATCCCGGGCTTCATTTGCAAGTTCGAATGACTACATTAGCCACCCTAGTTCAAACTAGGGTGGCGGTGTAGACATACCCTCAGAGACTTTATTTCCATTGCCGAGCGATTGAGAGGCATGCCTATTTCATCTCAGTGAATCTCGACTTGGATATCGATGTGCATACTCAGATGCCATTCTATGGCTAACAGGCTCTTACAGCATCCATCATGGGCACGTTCCACTTGAGCTACAGCTGCCTTCACAGCCTTTCTGAACAATGTCCCCCTAAGAGACATTTATAGAGCTGCAACATGGTCCTCAGACCACACTTTTGCGAAACACAATGCAATACTACCACAACTAGCATCTGACTCAGCAGTGGCCGTTGCATTCTTGTCCACCGCTGCCAAACAATGACTCCGACTCGCTCCATCCAACAGTGGAGCACCCACGGGGACATCACTCGAAGAAGAAAAGGGAGTTACTCACTTTGTGCAGTAACAACTGCTCTTCAAGATGTGTGTCCTGTGGCTCCACAACCTTTCCTTCCTCCCCTCTACTTGGAGTCTTAGGGTATGTCTAGACTGCATCTCTCTGTCGGCAGAGGGATGCAGATTAGGCAGGTCAACATTGCAAATGAGGCAGGGATTTAAATATCCTGTGCCTAATTTGCATAAAAGGGCCACCGCATTTTGCCAACTCAGCACTTTGTTGGCAAAAAGCAGCAGTCTAGAGGGGGATCTGTTGAGAAAAAAAGCCTTTTTCGACAGATCCTGTAAACCTCTAGACTGTTGCTTTTTGCCACCAAAGTGCTGAGTCGACAAAACGTGATGGCCATTTTTATGCAAATTAGGCACGGGATATTTAAATCCCTGCCTCATTTGCAATGTCAACCTGCCTAATCTGCATCCCTCTGCCAACTAACATACCCTTAGTTACTTGGACGGAGAAGAGGAACTGAACGGGAGGGGCCAGGCCGTGTGTGTCAGGTGCTCAGGAGGCAGCAGCATGAGATGCCTCCTGTGCATGTGCGGCCTGACAAGGTGTGTGTGTGTATAGTGTTTGTGTGTGTGTGTGTGGGGGGGGGACTGCTTTGCAATGCTCCAATTTGTGGCGCTGGAGCACCCACAAGGACATACATCTTGAAGAACAGTTGTTACTGCATGAAGCAAGTCCCTTTTAAGTGGTAACAGGACCACAGTCTGTAAGTACCTCCATGAGAATCAAATACTGAATAATGGGCTCTCAGTCTATCAGAGAAAGGTAGAATATGTCCAGTGGCTGGAAGCTGGAGCTGCATAAACTCAGGCTGGAAATAAAATGTACATTTATAATTACATTAGCCCTCAGAACAATTTCCCAAGGGTTGTGATGCATTCTCCGTCACTGACAATGTTTAAATCCAGATTAGGTGTTTCTCTAAAAGTTCTGCTCTAGGTATTATTTTGGGACAGGTCCCTGGCTACACAAGGTCAGACAAGACCAGTGGTCACCAGCCAATAGATTGGGATCTACTGGTCGATCTTGGAGCCTTTAACAGGTGATCCTGTCAGGTTTGGCTGGGGAGCTGTCGAGTGCCAGGACTTCATCTGCCCCCTCTCAGCACTGCTGTGCTGCTCCTGCCCTCTGCCGTGGAGGTGCCCCCCCCCCCCCCCCCTGGAGCACGTCTTGGCTGCTCCTGCCCTCTGCCGTGGAGGTGCCCCCCCCCCCACTCCTGGGAGCATCTTGGTTGCTACGTAGGGCACAGGAAGAAGAGGAGGGGGTGCTGATGTCAGGATGCTCCTTCCTCTACCCTGTACTCCATCTCCATAGAGAAGAGGGGGGGCAGGGATGGAGAGAGTTTGATGGCTGCTTTTGGGAGTGATGCAGGGCCAGATGAAGGGTGAGCCTGCCTTAGCCCCCTGCATCACCACCTGGAAGCCACCTGTGGTGCTACGTAGGGCACAGGAAGAAGAGGAGGGGGTGCTGATGTCAGGATGCTCCTTCCTCTACCCTGTACTCCATCTCCATAGAGAAGAGGGGGGGCAGGGATGGAGAGAGTTTGATGGCTGCTTTTGGGAGTGATGCAGGGCCAGATGAAGGGTGAGCCTGCCTTAGCCCCCTGCATCACCACCTGGAAGCCACCTGTGGTAAATGATGCCCAGCTGGAGCCTGCATTCCAAAAACCTGGCCCCAGTCCTGAACCCCTCCTGCACCCCAAACCCCTGAGTCCCACTGCACCCAAACTCCTTCCCAGAGCCTGTGCCCATTCTGCACCTCAGCTCCCTGCCCCAGGCTGAGCTCAGAACCCCTGGCACACTCCAAATCCTTTAGCCCAAGATCAGAGACCACATTCTCCTCCCTCGCATCCCAACCCTCTATCCCCAGCCTGATAAAAGTGAATGAGGGTGGGGAAGGGATGGAGTGAGCAGGGACTGCGCCTTGGAGAAGGGGTGGGAAGGAGGCAGGGCAAGAGTGTTTTGGGTATGAGGTGGATCCTGGATTGCATTTAAATTCAAAAAGTGATCTCATGCTTAAAAAGGTTGGAGAACATTGGACTCGATGATCAGAATGATCTTTTTTGGCCTTTGAATCTCATTAACAGCATAACAGAGCAGTGGTGCACGAGGCAGGGCTGGAGGTGCCAGGGCCAGTGACAGGAATGAGTGAGGATGTGGTTCAGCTTTGTGACATCTAGCAAGTTTCCAGCCAAAATTCTGCTTGGAGCTCAGAAATCACCGCTGGATTTGTTAAAAGCCACCGGACAGGAGGCAGGGATACTTCAAGGCTGGGTTCCCAGGGAGCCAGGCTGTCAGCAGCACAACAGCAGGATACATCTTGGCTGGTACTCCCATAGTGGGGTCAGCTTCCACTCAGGTAAAAACAAAGTGCAGTTGAGCAATGGACAGGAGCCAGAGCAGTCCTGGAGGTACAGGGCTGCTCCTTTACCAACCCTGCTTTGACAGAAAGCTACAGAGTCCCAGTAACCAAGGGCTTAATGTGAACCACAAAGTTTAAAATAGAAGAGAGGTTACCCTGACTGTTGGGGGATCCGTATTCTGATCTCAATTCTCCCAAGACTGTCCTGGAGTCACCCTGACATCATTGGCTGGCTCTGGGCAGCTGCCGATTCTGGATATCTGCAGGTTCTGGCCCAGTTCTGGCTGGCATTGGGCTCTGGACTGATTGTTGGTCTCACCAAACTAAGTAAGTGGGCAACAAAATGGCAAATGAAATTTAATGTTGATAAATGTAAAGTCATGCACATTGGAAAAAATCATCCCAACTATTCATACAATATGATGGAGACTTATTTGGCTACGACTACTCGAGAGAGAGATCTTGGAGTCATTGTGGAGAGTTCTCTGAAAACAACCACTCCATGTGCAGCGGCAGTCAAAAAAGCAAATAGTATGTTAGGCATCATTAAAAAGGGATAGAGAATAAGACAGAAAATATTTGATTGCCTCTATATAAAAGCACGGTACGCCCACATCTTGAATACTGCGTACAGATGTGGTTGCCTCGTCTCAAAAATATACATATTGGCATTGGAAAAGGTTCAGAGAAGGGCAGCAAAATTGATTAGGAGTTTAGAATTGGTCGCATATGAAGAGAGATTAAGAAGACTTGGACCTTTCATCTTAGAAAAGAAGAGACTACGGGGGGATATGATAGAGGTCTATAAAATCATAACTGGTATGGAAAAAGTGAATAAGGAAACCTTATATATTTATTCCCACAAAATAAGAACTAGGGGTCACCAAATGAAATTAATAGTCAGCAGGTTTAAAAGAAACAAAAGGAAGTTTTTCCTTCACTAAGTGCACAGTCAACCTGTGGAACTCCTTGCCAGAGGATGAAGTGAAGGCTAGAATGTTAACAGGGTTAAAAAAAGAGCTAAATAGATTCATGGAGGTTAGGTCCATCAATGGCTATTAGCCAGGATGGGTGGGAATGGTATCCCTAGCCTCTGTTTCTCTGGAGGTGGGTGACAGGAGGGACCTGTTGTGATCCCTCCCTCTGGGGCATCTGATATTGGCGCCTGTTGGCAGACAGGATACTGGGCTAGATGGACCTTTGCTCTGATGCAGTATGGCCGTTCTTATGGTGTTTTG